GCAACCTGGCAGTATCCCAGCCCTCGTGCTTCCTTCGGATGGCGTGGCAGCTAGGCACCGAAAGGGTGCTACAGCTGAACGCTTTCTCTTTCTTTCTTTCTTCCTTTCATTTCATGGAACTTTTTCACCCCGAAAATGATGGCTAGCGCTTTTTTCTCAATTCGTCCGTAATTCCGTTCAACTGGAGCCAGTGACATTGTGGCATGAGCAATCGTTTTTCGCGCACCATCACGGAATATGTGAGCAATGACTGCACAAACTCCACAGTTCGATGCGCCAGTTATGAGAACGATAAGCAGTTGGGGGTTGAAGTGCGTGAGTAGAAGTTCAGACTGCAACAGCCTCTTCACTTCTTCGAATGCAAGCTGACAGTCGCGTGACCAATCCCACCGATATCCTTTGGTCAAAGGCTGATCGAAAGGTTCGCGCAAGCTATGCATAACTGGCAGGAAGGCGTTGTAGTAGCTAATCAACCCCCCAAAAGAATTGAGTCCAGCAGCATTCGGTGGTGGGGGGCATCCTCACAATTGGGTCGATATTAGACGGGTCGGGGTGACGTCCATTTTTGTCGATAGTAAAACCGAGGTATTTCATGGAATTCAAGAGGAACTCATTTTTCTTTCTATAGCCGGAACCCATAGTCATTTATCCGCCGAAGGACAGCGTCCAATAGGGACAAATGTCTTCTTTTGTGTCGTCAAGGTATGTGGCGACTCTAGTCAGATCACACAGCATCGTGTCCATAATCTGTTGGAAGATGGATGGTGCAGTTTTTACTCCGAACGGTAATCGGGTGCACTGGAATAGGCAACGGTGCTTATTGGTCGTCAGATGTCTGGTTTCCTCTGCGACTTCAACTTGCAGGTGGGCTTCTGAAAGATCCAGCTTTGCCAAATATGCGCCACCGTTCATCTTGGCAAAAATATTATCAGGTAACGGCAAGTAATAGTGATGACTGTCCAAGGCACCATTCTAGCCTGAAGAGTAATCGGCACATATACGTACGGCACCCTTTGGCTTTTTGACAACCATGATTGGTGCAGCCCATGAGGAATAACTCACTGGTTTCAGGACCCCGGCATCTTCGAGGCGTTTGAGTTAAGCATCATGGATTGATAAAACCGCGTATGGTACTGGCCTTCTGGGTCTGAAAGCTGGCTGGACTTCCGGGCGCAGATGAAGCACCGCTTTTGCTTTCGAGCAACATCCAAGACCTTCGCTGAGGACGTCTTCATATTTCTGTTGTAGTCTTAGAATCGCGGCATCGACTGGATTACTCACTCCAGACACTCAAGATTTGGGTTGGTTTTGATATGCAGAAGTTGTTGAGTGACAATGTTAAAAGATGCAAGCGATCGATCCAATCTATGGCTAAAAGATTAAGCTCACAAGCAGCAAGATAGACAATACCACAATCACGGTAGCCTGTTATCTCCATCTCACAATCAAATTCACCAAGTAGTTGATACTTACCACCTGAAGCATTTCTGACAGTGTTCATTGATGACCCGATCTTTCTCCAGGTGCACCGGGAAGCAATGGTAATATCGAAAACCGTGCCGAGCTGCAATCGAATTGTGCTTCCGTTTGCTCTAATTTTAACGTGCTTGCGACGAGCATCGATGTGGTTATCAAATGTTGCAAGTATTGCGTTAGAACGGGGTTCCGATTGGCTCCGTTTGCTCTGTGACCTCCAGGTTCGACTGTCTTTGCCCAGCTTTCCGCGTCTTGCACCGGCTTCCCTTGTGCCCACGTCGGTTGTACACTGATCACTGTGCTTTTTATACGGACACAATCGCACAAAATGCCGTTCGCTGCGTTGCCAGCATGCTGAAGGGGGTTTTGCTCCGTTTGAACTTGTCACCACATAACGTTGCTTCGATGTCGTCTTGCCAATGTTGAAAGCAGGGTTGGATAGGGGCCTGTCCAATGTGGCCGTGTCGTGTTTAGGATTTAAAAGGCTCTGGCACTCATGGGTAATGGACTGCAGCGTTATCTCGGGAGTTTGTTCGATCTTGTTCAATGGTCTCGCCCTGATGTCACTGTGTGAATGCGACTGAGGACCACATGTGGGAATAAGACACTTGAACTGGTCTTCTGTCATAGTAGCTTACTTGAATTTTTCACATTCAAAGTTGACTCTACCGGCATAAGTGATGTAGTCCTCGGATTCCTTTTTCGCCAGTTTCATACATTGGTTGCGAATATTAAACAAGGACAAACGCTCACTGGAAATCATTGAAAGTTGCTGCACAGTTTTGTCAGAACTGAGATCTCGCGTGTTCTTAGGCAGGATAAAATTGGAATACCGTGGGTGTTGCTTCAATTTGGCTTTGAAAACATCTCCGTAACGTTTGTACCACGAATCGAAGATTAGGCCGGCATCAGGGTCATAATGGAACTCCGTGATGCTGTTGGCGATCGAGTCGACTGAATTGGTATCTGGAGCGGAATTTGGTGGTTGAATTTTCAGTTGCTGCGTCAATGTTTCCGCCAAACGTAATTGTGCCGCTTCAAATTGGTTTTGTTGTTGCAGCAGAATTTCTTTCAACGCTTCAGCAGTTATTGTCGTGATCCAGTGGGTTCGGGCGTCGCCAATCTGTGGTATCTGCTGCTGAAACGCTTTAGTGCCTAATGCCGAAAAAAGGACTCACAGAAGGGAACACAACAGCTATATTCTAAACAAGCGAGTGCGAGAACGTGAGTGCGAAAATACAGCGGCCTCAAGTTATTTATTGGAGGGACACTCTCTGAACTTGGTCCAATGTTGACGCACATGGTCTGGCTTTGGTACGAGGCTGTGACGCGCTGCAAATTTGGGGGACGTTACCTGACCTTGGCCAACACTGGCTCTCACTACCTGGGTTTGATACAAGACTGTGAAGCGCTGCATGTTGAAGGGACTTTGTCTGTTTGGTCAACATCTAGCGAAGCTGACAGCCTCAGTACATTTCGGGCACTCAGTGGTTGTTTTCAGGAATCTGACCTTCCTGATATGAACATCAGCATGTTTGTTTATAACAGACAGGTTGTAGACGAGTATTTTAATACTTCCTATTGCACCCGGAAGCTTGGACCAGGGAGGTATTTAGCCACTGGTGTTAGCAGAGTTAGAAATTCCGTGCCGGCTATGATCCCAATGCTTGAAAATGACGAATGAAATAGTGATAACATAATCGTTCCGCTGTTACACCGTTTCGGTACTTACCTGCTACGCCACCCTAAGGAAGCACGAGAGCTGCGATATTGTCCGGTTGCCTAAGCAGGGGAAGTCGAATTACAAAGGTAGGGTTCGAATCTAGACCTTCCGGTCAGTAAATTCGCGTTACAACCACTAAGCCATCTTGCTTGCCACCTATTTACTTCTTGTCTTAGTGATTCTAGCTCTTGTTCCTTTAGGTTGTTTTGTCACTCAGTGTCCTGTTTTCTTGGATCCTTTCGTCTGTATGCAGACATTGCGATGACAGTCGCTTGTGGTGCGTACGGAAACCACATTCTAGCACCTCAGATTCGAAGTTGTTTGAAGGTGTGTTTGGACCACCTTCATTTGTTTCCTTGGGCTTTGGGGCTCGATTTGGCTTTCAAGGTACCTGACTGATGGACCCCCTTGGTTGTAGCATGGAACCTTCGGGGGTATCGCTTTTGATAGCATCCCTAAGGGGTTGACTTTCGTAGTTGATTACGTCCTAAACTCAGCGAGCAGCCCCCCACGACTTGGCGTGATTTGTGCGCTTTATTCGGTTGCGCTCGCTTTTTGTGTGTTCGTGCTGACTCCCAGCTCGTCCACTGTCTGTGTGACCAACTTGCCGTACGTAGGATTTTCAGGTAATGTCTGATTCGTGGCACGTCACTCGGGGTCATGAGTGACGCCTGCATTATCAATCAGACTTACCTATTTTGATGCAGTGGAACTTGACTCACGCAGTTACGTATGTAAGAAGGATCACTCTTACTTTCCCATGGCAGTTTCTTCAAGTGTAAGTTTCGGGACCAGCTTCGTACAGCTTGGCTGACCAGCGGTTGTAGGGCTGCAGCTGGTGTCAAGTTGGCCTAAAGTTTAGGGTCGAGGCTAGGCTTGATCTGCACGTGACCCGACGTGACCCAGTTTTCACGCCTCGGGGGCGGTCTCTGGATGTACGTTTTCCCTTCGGAGGTGCATTTTGAATAGATGGAGGCTGCTTCAGGACTCTCCAGCTAGGCTTGTCTGCACGTGACCCGACGTGACCCAGTTTTCACGCCTCGGGGGCGGTCTCTGGATGTACGTTTTCCCTTCGGAGGTGCATTTTGAATAGTTGGGGGCTGCTTCAGGATTCTCCATATTCTTTTGGCCATTTCTCCCCTGTTGGTTGCTATGTGATGTTTTTATCTCTAATTGCCTCCCCGGTACCTGGTCGATAAGTATTCTAGTGCAAAAAGTAAACGAAGACTGAACGCCTCCAGAGTTTGAATTAAAACTGAACTGGATATAATTCTCGGTTATTCCGTTCCAACGTTCAGTTTCTCGTCACATCGTATTCTCCAACCCACTTTCCGTAATTCCAAGTACCGCAAACACTATTTTCTTCAGTAGAGGCTCGTGTCTGAGTTGAATGTGGAACCTCCCGACCCTCACCAAGACTTCGCGTTTATTCGGGTGAGATGCCTCAAGTGGTTAGAGCACGAATTTACTGACCGGAAGGTTCGTGGTGTGGTTCGAGTATCTCCCTCTTGACTTCCACTGTCTCTAGGCTTGGGCGACCTGGCAGTATCCCAGCCCTCGTGCTTCCCTCGGGTGGCATGGCAGCTAGGCACAGGAAGGGTGGTACAGCTGAACTATTTTTCCGATTTTTTTGTGTTTCCATAAATAGAGTCACACTTCACTCACGTTTCGGTTTAAAATGGCGAGGTGGAATAGACTAATAATAAAATAACCGGAGAATATATATGAATGAAGGTTCACAATCGTACATATCACAGACTTCGTCTTCTGCTGTCCGTCGTCTGCGTAAACTGATGTTTTCTTGTTTCGCTTACAGTGGCACCTTCAAAGTTGGAAGCCTTGTTTCAGGATTCCATCTTGAAACTTCAGGATGAGAAACTTGAGTTAGTTGACTTACTTATTTTGATAGCTGCATAAGCCGCAACCACACTGACACGACTCGCACGCATTACGAAACCACGGGTAATGTTTGCCTCAGGAGGGAATATCACAGAGGTTAAAGGACCGTGTCTACACAACAGCCGTTAGGGCCGTCCTACTCTCTTGCTGTGAAAGTTGGCCGCCTCAGTTTGAAGACCGCGAACGTCGTTAGATATTTGGTTACTGGTAGCTCCGTACTTTAGCTGACCTAAACCGGCCGCACCATGTACGTAATAAGATGTCCCATAAAGGAAGTTGCGTCCATCTTGCTTGTGGCATCTTGCTCCACCCTGGTGGTCAGATGTGTTTATCTAAGTGATTTCGAAAGATATAGATATCTCGCTGTTGATCGTTTTCTCGAAGGAAATGGAAATTTATTATTATCCTTATTATTCTCCCGCCTTTCTCCCCACTTTTGACCTGAACCTTTTGATTACATGGCTTTATGGTAGTCAAGCGCCATTTCCCGCCACTGGCATGTTACTCTCCACGATGATGATCCAGACTTCTTGGGTAAACCTAAACCTTTAAACTGTAACACCCTCCCGGTGCCTAGCTGCCATGCTGAGCACGAGGGCTGAGATACTGCAAAGTTGTCCAAGCCTAGACAGGGTTTCTTGGGAACCTTTGCCTTGTGCTCAATAATGTCAAACCGTATCACCCACGTGGATAACTGTTCGTCTAAGAACGCACATGCTCGATGGGCCACCCTCGCACCCTAGGTCATCGGCGTAGCCGCCTACGTTACAGCGAGAAATCCTTAGTTGTACCCGCCTGGACCGCGCTTTTCGCCAAAGTAGTGCATGCCAAATGAACGGCTACCTTCAACTATAGGGCTGGTAAATTTTACACCGACGGGTCCATTAATCTACTGTATAGCTCGACTCCTAAAAGAAAGATTCATCTGGTTATAAGACAGCTGTGGAAAAACTGACCTATCGGTAAAACAGCTTGTGCTGTCTTCTGCCGTATTCCTTATCTCTGTTGCCATAGTCCCCATAATCAAAATATTGTCGTACCATCATCCCACCATATTTTGGCATGCGCCTTGCACGAAGTCTTAAGATATAATCCAGAATGTGCACTCTCTGGACAAGCACCTTGCTATTCAAGGAATGCACCCATTCAACTGCGCACTGATGATGTCTCATCGACTGGGGACGAAACGTTCGCAAGCCAATTGCCAAGTTCGGCGAACAGATGAACTGCCATCTGATCAGCCACCAGTAAGGGTATGTTTAGCGCCAAAATCCGCGTCGATTAGGCCATGTGTTGCACATACCGAACCATCATTTGCCGAAGAGGGTACTGTCTTCCGCGCCCAGTCCAGAGTGGCGCAAAATATTGCTGCCGCTCGATGTCAGTGACGTTCTTGTTGTTGGTTTCTATACAGATAGCATAAGTGAGTGTCTGGAGGTGTAGGTACCTCGGAATGATTGTAGTTAGCCAGCACTAAGTCCCCTCCCTGTATATTTCTATTCTTTTCTCCACAATAATCCGGCAATGAAGCTTCCGTGTTGAACACTGCTGTTGTGATATTGATATTGACGACGACGCGGTTACTTTGAGTTAGGGTCTTCTTTGCATGGAAGGTTCATTACATTCCCCACTCGTGTAACGGATGCCTCACTTCACTGTCGTGTTTTGGGCTTAATCTAACTCCTTTCTTACACCGTTGTTTTTGTTCGCCACAAAGCCTTATGAATATACCACTCACTCATGTTATCCATTATGTGCCCTGTTTGATTGTGCGTATTCTCTGTTGTAGGTTTCTGACGTCGGACGTTTGTTCTCCGGTTGTAGCTCTTTTGATTTGTGTAATGAAGGTAAACTTTAGTTCATGATTCCGTCACACTCGTAGGTACGAGTACTTTTCGATTTCGCCGCTCAAGGTGTGGGAGAACTGAGTATTACAACTGGGGAACAGTTGACAATTACAGACCAAACTGTCGGAGATGGCTGGTGGAGTGCTGTCAACTCTTCTGGTCAGAGAGGGCTTGTTCCGTGTGCATTTGTTGAACCAATCGATCCACCTGAACCGAATGTCCCACCGCCTCCTCCTCCAGCTAATATCCAGCAAACTGAGTGGGATGAAGAGTGGGACAGTGATGATAGCAACTCAACAGTAGTGAGTTTGAAGTTTTCTGGTTGTTCTTATCTGACCCCCCGTGTTCATTTCGGTCTGCATGGCAGTTTACATTAAAAGGGTTCCACACTTGAAGGTCAATTTTTCGGTGCCTGATCTTACAAATATTGCAACCGGTTGTGGCTATTCTCAGGAAAGTTTTAAACACAGGTTGATATCTAAACGGTGGAAAAATACTACTACTACTATACTACACTACTATACTATACACCATACTGTACTACTACACTACTACTATACTACTGTACTACTATAATATGCTATAATACTACTACTAACAAGGATAATTAGAACACTAATACATTTGGCACCTTGTTCACTGTGCTCAGATGTAAATCGCTATTGAACGTCGATTTTCCCCCTACTGTGTGTAAGCCATGTCACATTGGATCAAGTAAGCCTTATCAGTATCATTACAGATACGTTCATGTTGTAACGCAGTATACCTACCCTAGTGAAGGGCTCCCTTTTTTCACGATGTATTGAGCTGTTCTCTGCCCGCCCTCAAATGACTTCTAAATCCCATTATCTCTCATTCGCTTGTTCCTCATGACATTCAGTTATCTCATCTTTAGAGATCACCCCCTGGCAGAGACTGATCTTGAGAAGAAAACATCCATTGTTAGTCCGTTGGGGCGTATTTCAGTATTAGATTTTTAGAAGGCTGTGTTACAATAAACCACTTGTGGTGTGTCTGTTTTGTTTCCTTTTATCAAAGGGAGGGGATATTTGTAAAACGAGGCCTTCTCTATGTTAAACGTCCTGGATTTTCCGTTGTTTTTTCTTCTCTATTTTCGAGCAGTGTTGGGAATAGATGGCTCAAGTGGTTATAGCGCGAATTTACTAACCAGAAGCTCCGTGCTTCGAACCCGGCCGCTCCCTCTCGACTTCCCCTGTCTCTAGGCTTGGGCAACCTGACAGTATCCCAGCCCTCGTGCTTCCTTCGAGTGGTACCGCAGCTAGACCCCGGAACGATTTTTCATTATTGCTCGAGCACATGGTTAGTTGTGAGGAGCAAAACCCTATGTTCAGAGCGATGGTCCTTGGTGGACGCGCTTTTTTCCTCCGTTGATTGCATTTGAGCTAAGGAAGCGTTAAAGGGCGTTTTGTTAAATCAGCCCTCACGATCATTGCACACTGTCAATACGACCAGTGTGTCACATCATTCCATCCCTCAGGGTGGCTGCAGGACATTCTGCCGTTTGAACCTTGCTCATCTTCTACAGTTCAATTTATTTTTGTGTAGAAACGATGTTGTTGAGGGTATGTTAATTTAATGAGTGACATAAGACGAGCATACGGTAATACACAGTATGCTTTTGGGTGATTCCACGAAGGGCAAACTGAGTTTGAACTCGTGTGAACCAGATGCATGGGTCATGGTGCCAGAATGGTGGAAGATTAACAGAGGCGACGTTGATGGGAAGTTGTTGTATGCTTATTGTCGACAACGTTGCAAGTGGGACAGGAATTGTCACGTTATTTGTGTTTGTGACGTGTGATCTGGTGAGTGACCGCCACTTCTACGTTCCAGAAGCCATAGTTCGGTCGTCTGCCTCCACGAACGAGCTCAGAAGCCTTCTTACACATTTTCGTATCGACACAGCCGTGAATCTTTCACGCCAACTGATTACCAAGCTGCAGGGTGTTTACCTAGGTCTTTTGTGGCATTCATTTAGATAAAGGGACCCTTTCGATTAGGTTTACCTGAGTCTGCTTCCCCTCCCCCCAGTTAATTTCTTGATGAGTGTATTTCGCTATTTGCGTACATTTTGGGTTCAAGAGGGGTAAAACCAGTTGTGGGCTGTCAAAAAGTTTTTAGCAAACTTACGGGTAATGTGTTCTCTGAAGAATGTGACAAACCCGTTTTGCGTGTAGCGTCCATAGTTGGAGCGGTTATATCACACTTCTCACAAGCAAAACGAATTCGTCAGCTGTTTCAGCTATCAGGCGACTATTCTTATCGGTAGTAACACAAACCAAAGACGAACACATTGGGAACCCATGCTTAGGCGTGTGTACTTAGCCGTTGACCTCTTTTTCTGCAAATGAATATTCTCCCGCCATCACTTCCCTTCTATTCACCTCAAAATTAGAACTCTCTCTCTCTCATAAATTTCCCCTTGCTTATCCGTCTGAACCCTGTTTTATACCAGTTAACCAAACGACCGCAATAATATATGACGTCGAAAAGTGATACCGTAACCTGTGTAAGGACAATCTCATCCCTCTTTTGGCCAGATCGAAACGACTTGATGCGGAACCTGCTTCTTTTCTGGCCACATTATTGCATTGTCGTCTTTTCTCGTTTCCACGACACAGCCCACAACCTACCGTTCTGGCAAACCCAACGATGCTGTTCGCCGATGTTCTGAGTTAAACCAACCGGGCAGTCCAGTCAAAAGTCAGTTCATCTCTACAGGAATCACTGGTTCACCAGCAGGCGAAAGTGTCAGGTTTGCTCCGGTACGCAAGGCTTTCACCAGGTGGGATGTGTTCATCATATAACTTCTCGGACTACTCCCATCGATCCCACTTTTTTATACCTAAATGTCTCAACCTCCCGTTTTCAGCTGTTGTGTCTAGTATGGAAGCTGGCCATTTTTTCCAGCTCCTACATGATGATGTGTTTAACTCAATTCAATTTCAGATTATCAGCTACAAACCGTTTGCCATAGGCACATTGGTTCCAGCTGCCACAGTTTCGATCACCGGAAGACGGTAAAGTAGGACATACAACCAAGCCTTGGAGGTGAAGGCATGTTCAGTTTGTTCGGAAATTGGGTAGCTACGCATTGAAGGCGATAGTTTTGATGCATGAGCGCCACTGACTGAGCGATTGAGCCATTTCCGCCAATGTCATTAACCACTGGTTATCTGAGTCCCGGGGTCCCCATCCGGGGAGGTGGCAGTTACCCACCAGACTACGTTTACTGGTTGGTGTATTCGTTCTTTATTACCAGGTTATAGACTGTCCACCTCTCGGTGCCTTTGTTAGTGCACAGCTGAGGATGGCCATAATACAACTCAGGAAATACATGCACTTTTAACTGTCTTTACTGTGGTTGACAGTAGTTTACAGAAATGATTTGCAGCATGTATAAAATAACTGACAATATTAAATGTGGAGCAAGTCAACAGGTAACTTACGCGCGCGAGTCTGTGTCATGACTGGGTTCGGTTTCCCTTTTTGTAGGTCCCAGTGCGTGTTCGTGGGCCCGTCGGCACATGAGTAGTTGCTACACTGACTAGGCGGTGCAGACAATCGATGTCCGATGTGTCAGCTTAATGTGACGTGTTTGTGCGTATGAGAAAAAAGACAAGCCTCGCGATCCAGTGAGCGACTGTGAGTCGAACAGTCAAGTGTATGGGTGACAGGGTCGCTACGCCTTCCACGCAGCACAGGGCTGGGCGAAAAGAGGTCTGTGAGACAGACGGTCTTCTGGCATGCGGAGTACATGTCCCAACCAGCGCAGCCTACGAAGCGTGAGTAATTCATCTATCGGGGGAGAGTTCCTTCTTCCTAAGACCATCTGGCGTAACTCAGCAGTACTAATGCGATGTTCCCACCAGACCTGAACAATACCTGGGAGACACTGATGAGCAAACACTTAAATCTTCCGTATGTCCTCTGCGCGCAGGGGCCACGTCTCTAATCCATAAAACAGTATGGATCGCACCACCGCGGTGTAAAGTCTTTCTTTGACAGACGAACTCACGTCACGTCGGTGACATGGGTGTCGGAGGTTGGTAAAAGCTGCCCTGGCCTTTCGAATTCGAGAAATAACCTCATCTCCAGCCAGTCCATCGGAACTTTTACAGCTGCTCAGGTAAACAAATTTTTCTACCACGTCGATTGGCTCACCTACAATCATGAGGTATGGGTTTGATCTCACCCAGTCTTGTAGCAGCACCTTACGTTTTGCATTTGGAAAGGATCTGAACCAAGGAGTGCAATATCGTCTGCATACTCAATGTCTGTGAGGAAACGTCCCGGGAGCATTTCGACTTCCAAAGTTTCAAAGACAAGCAGCGAAATTTCAAGCAGTATATCAATAGCAAAGTTGAAGAAGAAGAAGAAGAAGAAGAAGAAGAAGAAGGGGAAAGAGGACGGTTTTGTCTTACAGCACTGGAAGTGGTGAACTCAGGTGAGAGCTTCCCTTATACTCGTACGCACCCACAGGAGTTCGCATATAGAGGAATTCGGAAGGAACACCTTTGCTCGCCAGACCGCCAAAGTTGCTGACGATCGACAGAATCAAAAGAAGCTTTCAAATACAGAAAAACGACCAACGTGAGACGTCTGACGGCGTAACGCTGTTCAAGAATTTGTCTCAAGGTAAGGATATGTTCGATGCATCCTCGATCAGAGCGAAACCCAGCTTTATACTCACGAATCTGTCCCTCCCAATAATCCATAAACTTGCGCAAAATGATGCCAAAAAGCGCTCTAAATACGACGGATACCAGGCTGATACGACAATGGTTTTCACATGACGTTCTTGCTCCCTTTCTGAAAACTGGGATGAAGGTCAAGGAGCTCCATACCATAAAGGCTTTGTTATCTGGTTGTTGCTTCAATTATCACCTACTATGACCTGGTACTTATTGACTTGGATCAAAACGACTGCTATTTTTTGGTAGAGGAGACCAGTTATACGACATGAGTGAACCCAAGTATTTTGCCCTTTGCATCTGTCCGCAAGCCAAACGGTGCTTTTTGGCAGGTGGCAGATTGTGTTGCATTGGTTGTTCTGTGCCTTCATACTCATCCATGAAAAAAATTCCGCATGAAGAGTAGTCACTTCACAGCAGCCTGCGTTGTCATATGCTAGACATCTTTCGTGGTCTGTTCTGTTAGGAGTGGCTGTCTATGGGAGTTATTCAATTTCAACGGTAACATGTCTTGGGTTCAGAAAGTTCAGCTTTATTCAACGGTGATACTCACTGTTATCCTCATTCAATTTTCGCAGGACATCTATCTCAATTGTGTATTTTATCTTTTACTTGGATCAGATCTGAGTTGACCCAGATGTGTGTATCTTTACAAACGAATTGTCCTATATATCTGTACAGTCGCTTGAACCATTTGTATGTTATTTAACCCCACAGTGTTTTCGATGAATCCATTTTTCACCAGCACTGTCTCAATGCGTTTAACTTCTCTGCTGTTTGAGGCCTCGTCCGAGCATGTCTTATTCGCCTTGTCTGGCATCGATTCCACCACTGCTCATTTCATGCTGATCGGATCACGTGAGTGATAGTTCAAATACCGATCGAAGTGACCTAGTTCTCGGTGTACAAATACGTCAAAAGGTCGTTGCTCTTAAACCTTAACCAGGCAAGCTAGGAACGCAATTGAACGTTTCTCACTCTAGTTGAAGCGTGAATGACACCCAGGATGCTGGTCCTTTCAACTCTAGTTTGAGATGACGGTTCTACTTTTCATCAGCATAACGTGTGGCGAGCTACGAGGCCTAAAAGTGTGCAGCGGTTTGGATTAGAAGACGATGCATCGTGCTCATGAACCTTTATTTAAACTGATGGTGTTTGGGAATGCCTTCATAAAATCATGTCTGTCTGTGTGATTTCAAGAGTCTTCAAACCGTTGACGAAGTGTTCATTTACACATTTGTACATAACTTCAGTCATTTGTAGTTTAATGTTCAAATTGTTGGGAACTAATCCGATGTACTCCACAAAGGGTGAAATTGATAATCGGAGGTTGAGTGCTTTTCATCCACCGTAGGAGTTGTGTTGTTTTGAACAAATTATTGACTTTCTCATGTGTTCCTCTCTGTATTATCTCATGCTTTTTCTTTTCGAACTAGATCATTTATCAAATCTGGGGCTGAAGAGTTCCTATTACAATTAGAAACACCGTCCGTGCACACCGAGGCAGTCATTGAAGTGAGTTGTAATCAGTATATCTAAGCAATCAGTTTTGCTCGGCTGCTCAGTTAGATTCTACTTGTAGTGATGTATTGGTTCTAGCCACGACAGTCTTCACCCATCGACGTTAATAGACGCTACACTGGTGGATGGACGTTAGGCCGGTATGAACGTATAGTTTCTGCTAGGACACGATTGATGGTGACTCTTACGCTTGAACGTCACTGACGGTTCGGCCGGGTATCTTCGTTCCTCATTGCTAAGATATTTTCTTTGTAATCCCCGTCCTCATGGCTATAGATGGCTGAAATGGCAGAATTTCGTGACTAACGTCCCCATACTCCGTTGCTAGGTCACTCTTTTACTTGTTTTCGCCCAGCACTTGTCCGAACAGAAAAGAGCTTTGTGGTGAAGCAACCCACCTGTCTGACCGGCACCATTGGTCACTCTCTTTCTGTCGAGCTGTTCTCTGATCCAGTGTTCTAACTGATCCCAGACTGGTTCTGAAAGCTGTGGTTTATGTACCACTGGCAACGAAACACATACAAAGCGTGTTGTTTAAGTCACTAACGGTTGCATTCATGGTATGTCGCCTTAAAGGTCAGTTTTGGCGCTTAAAAACTGTGAGTGAAGCTTAGCTTTCAGGGTGGCAGGCGTCCCGTTGGCTGCTCACTCGAGAAAAAATGACAAATGCGGTCAGCCTTCCCTGACAGCATTGTTGCAATGAATTTTCGTCTGACGCTTATGCGTCCATGGTAAGTGTCCTACTGTGATTCGGGAAGAGAAGAATCTGGAGGAGAGGCTTGCGATTGCCAAACATTACTCATGTTTATCGGCCCATCTGGTCAATAGCAGCAACTTTTCAAATAACAGTGGACATTGCCGATTACTGCAGGGAACCGTGAGGCCCCCCTGACCTTCATCCTTTAGACGAAAGTACGCCTGGATTTCGCAACTATCTCCTGTTAAACGAATAGTCTGCGTGCAGCCTTCGCCGTGAATTCATCGCGTTCTGTGTGAATAAAAATCACTGTACTTAACCTATATTTGCACCATGTACGTAGCAGCCATTGAAGGAATATTCGGATGGCAAATTGTACAGATGCCCTCAAATTTGAGTCAACCAAAGCCCTACGCACTTTGGAGGCGAATTTTCAACGTCACAAATCACATGGTCATCTAAATACAAGAGATTATGTCTGAGGGCGAACTGTGGAGAATTTTTGTGATTCTGATGGTTCTAAACATTACAGATAAAAGTTTAAAGTTAGAACGAGCAAATAGTTCTGTACAGGTCTGCGACTATAGCGCTCACCTATGTCACACTACTTGAATCCCATTAAACCGACAAGGGCATTCTGAGCATCGTACTTATCACTGAAGACCGTACGATTAGAACTCGGGCTTTTTCCACCACTATATTCCTGTTGATGCGCAAGAGGGATCAAACGGACGGTCCGTTTTAGTGATTTCCTCATCGTTGGCAGCACACAAGACTCTTCGTTACAATTTACCAATCAACACAGCTCTCGAAAATGTAAGGTCTCACGTGAGCACATATTGTCGCCTTCATTATTGGCCACAGCATTGATATGCACTCTTTCATGGGGATTTTAACATGTGTCTGGTCATTCAGCAACGTCACAAATCACATGGTCATCTAAATACAAGAGATTATGTCTGAGGGCGAACTGTGGAGAATTTTTGTGATTCTGATGGTTCTAAACATTACAGATAAAAGTTTAAAGTTAGAACGAGCAAATAGTTCTGTACAGGTCTGCGACTATAGCGCTCACCTATGTCACACTACTTGAATCCCATTAAACCGACAAGGGCATTCTGAGCATCGTACTTATCACTGAAGACCGTACGATTAGAACTCGGGCTTTTTCCACCACTATATTCCTGTTGTGTTGATGCGGGGATCAAACGGACGGTCCGTTTTAGTGATTTCCTCATCGTTGGCAGCACACAAGACTCTTCGTTACAATTTACCAATCAACACAGCTCTCGAAAATGTAAGGTCTCACGTGAGCACATATTGTCGCCTTCATTATTGGCCACAGCATTGATATGCACTCTTTCATGGGGATTTTAACATGTGTCTGGTCATTCAGCTTGATTTCATACCTCGGTGGGGACCGTCTGCAACCGTGTAGCGTCAAACGGTTGAATTGTGGCGTGTGGAAATCGTTTGGGAGTAGATATATCAAATGACATTTCAAGAAGTGCATCTATCACCCATTGGTGCGTGTTCCTATGTGAACTTTGGCTGCCTTATTGCTGATTTCCTGCGGTAATCCAAACGGTCATCGGTGAATCCAATCTATGCTGAAAAGCCGAGAACCACTGTGTACCTGTTTCATCCTCGTCGAGAGTCATCAGCGGTCTGAATCAATAAGCAGCTCAAAGGAAGGATGATTTCATGGGATGAGTGAAACTTCCTTTTGAGAAGTCGTCACTCGAGGAGCCAGCCAATACGTCACCACGTGATGTGGTTTCCGTTGCTGGAGGTTAAGGGGCGCTGATTACACTGCTAATCGGCTACTTGTGGCCAAAGTGTCAGGTGTTCAACCGCTGACCGGAATTCGCGAGAGTTCGAAATTCTCTGAATTTCGTCAGATGCTGATGATCCACAAAAAGGATGATGCAGCTGTACAGTATTTCTCAGCGTTTCTGCGTAGATTTGCTTTATTGGTGGAATACAATCTCTGGGTTACATTAGCAAATCTCCTTACCGTGGGTCAGATATTTCCCCGTCTGTCTCCTTATTCTATTCAGCTTGAACGTCGATTGTTGGTTTATACGTCTCACACTCATCACTACCTTTCCTGCGTAGACCTGTCCTATTCTATTCAGCCTGAACATCGATTGTTGATTTATACGACGAACCGTCAAACTTTGGGTCTCACATTCATCACTACCTTTCCTGCGTAGACCTGTCCCCACTATTTATGTTTGTTGACGTTATAAGTCAATGTGTCCGACGGGAGGAGGCGCAAAGAGTTTCTCCTGACAAACGGGCCTATTGTCTGGCCATACACGTGCTCACTGTCGCTCCATTCCGCGTATGGTCCTTCGTTGACCCCTATATTTTTGTGTCTGACTTTAGCGTGGTTCGCGCTCCCCTTGAGGTGTGAAGTTGCGCGGTGTAGCGTGCACCCTGACCTGTCACGTTTCGCTGTGCGATGCTCGCTTGCTGACCTCCCTTTGTTTGTAATCTCTCCTCTCCGTTCGGTATGTTTGGTGATTGCGTCACTGTTTTGCCCAATAGTCCGACGGCCCACACATGTCTTTTCCGTTCTCCGCTCGCTCTGTATGCCATTTGATTTGTTCCGAAAACCGTTAGGTTGGTTATAACTTCCCTCCTCAGCTCTTTGAATTGCCACAGTTTACGACGACTGGTCTTATGTTCTTATTGATGCTGTGCCTGAGCTGATTTGTTCTAGAGCCAGACACGTGGTTTCCACGGCCTCTTTCGCTGTTTGTTATAGTGCTCTTGTCTGCGACGATACTGATATCTCCACCGCCCAATGTCTCAGCTAAATGCTACTCTACTGTTCTTTCTCACTTTGGGTCTACGTGACATCGAATGGCAGCGAAAATCCGTTCTGTGGAATCTTCCAAATGTCCCGGATTGTACAATGTGTTTTGGTCAATCGCTTCTACCCAGATTACTATGCGCTTTTGCGTCGTGCAGTTCAGCTGAACTTCTACGTTTGAGGTCATGTCGTAGCAAGACAGCTAACCGATACGCTTTGCTGAGCGTCCACATCCTATCCGTTGATGATGCATAATGTGGTCTGATAGCCAAATTCTGTGACTCGCCCCGCTGCCTAATTGAGTCGAGGGAAATTGAGTTGTTGCCGTTGTTGTTGTTGTTGAACCGTGTCTTTCCAACTTCCACTCGTCAATCGAAGCATTCGTAACCATTGACATACACACAGTTGATACATTCATACCTGGTTAAGTCATTTCATCATCATCAGCTCGCCACCTATAAGGATGAAATTACACGACTTTCGCCTTGTCGGCTTATTAGCTAGGTATACAAAGTGACCTTGAATGGTCAATAGTAATTAGGTGGCGTGACGAGGAAACATGCACCAACCTGGAGCTACCAATCACCGCGCATAGCAGACAGATGATAGTTTTCAAGACCAATCCTTGTTGTACTTGACCCAGCTGGATTCATATCACAAGTTGAAATACACAAACATTTATTGTATCCTTTTTTAGTTTCGGGATGAAGCCTTCTGTTGGCGACCATCAGGGCAGTCCATCCAGTGTAAAATTCTGTCATTTCACAAAGATTCGAAGATGAAAGGGATGAAGAGCTTTATCGCGTACCAGTTAACCTCACCGGTAAGTTTATTGTATACCCACTTCGTGTGCTTTTTTTTACCTTTTTCTCTTTGGCTTTTCATGTCGCTGTTAAGGTGAATACGTACGAAGTCTTCACATGTAATGTAACTGTGAAACAGGCCACTCTATTTTCCAAACGGATCATTCTTTTTAGCCTATAAGACCTATGCGATCCACTAACCTAAAGCAACTGGCTGGGTTTTCGTTTTGTTCAAAACTACCTGATAGTATCCGTGGGGACCACTCGATGGATGTCAACCGTCAGAGCAGTTTTTGTTCATCACTGATGTCTCATTACAGCAGACCTTTTCTTCCCATTTACCACACTGTCGTTCTGGATAAAAACCAGCGGTCCATAAGCTGTGCTACCTTACACATTAGACTAGGAGAAATGCCAATAAACCCGCCTTGTTGATCCTGAATATCTCAGCTGACTTTCAACAGAATCATTCAGGGATTGGTTAAACTTTTCAGCTTTGAGATCAGCGGTCAGTTGGCTGTTTTATCTGGGCGACCTCTCAATCAGAGTGGCCTTATAAGCCTTCCGCACCTTCAATGTACGTTTGTACGCGTAGCTGCTTTTGTTCGCTTTTAATCAGAGAAGTAAATTTGAACTCAGACCTCTCGTTGGTCGAAGAACTTGCATTTTTCGTTTGAGCACTCTGAGTTTAAAGGTACCTGTGAGATTCAAGGCAAATGAGATAGTGGAGGTAGCATCCGGCCCAGTGTACTCTACTGAGTAATTCATCTGCTATTGATGTTTTTATCACCGCTTACTGATGGTATCCAGCTCTAGTCCGTAGTTTAAATGCCCTTCCATTCGACATGTGGATATTTCACTTTCAGAACTTAAGCACTATGGCTGACTCTTGCATTGCCACCCATGATAGTTTCACTTGTTCAGTATGCCCTAGTTTACAATCATTGTCTTCATTTATGAAGCCTGGGTAGCTTGTAAGCGCACAGCCACTAAACTTTTCTTCCCATTTACCACCACTAATCGTTTGGTCGTTTTATACTGTCTATTTATTGGGGGTTGGAGTCATCTAACTAAATAGTTTTCCTCGAAGATACCTCGGGGGGTTCTCACACTGCAGCCGTACATCATAGTCCATGGTTTTTGTACCGCCACACTCCAGTGAGCATTACTGTGGGTGGGTATCTTTAGGACACTATTTCACTCCAGCTAAACTCTCTGACCAAAGGAACATAATCGTTCTTCCCTCTGTGTGATCGTACTCTGATGCTATCCTACGGGTGGGTATCTTTAGGACACTATTTCAATCCAGCTAAACTCTCTGATCAAAGGAACATAATCGTTCTTCCTTCTGTGTGATCGTACTCTGATGCTATCCTATCCGCCACAACCATCACGTGTGACACCGGTGTTTAACACTAATGGTGCTCGTATGCAGGCAACTCATAACCCTTATCGTGCTACCGTTTTACTCAAACTGCTAACCAGGAAACTTTGCGGCTCGCTTCTATCTCCGACTTCGTGATTCTTTCTTCCGGTGTCTCAGTGAAGTGAAAGTTTCCCACCCCCGAAACAGGATTAGTTTACCGTTGCTGCGAGGGATTGTCTCAAGTTTAATGGTGATCACACTAGCGCAAGGTCTAGGTTTAACGCACCTCCTGTAGCAGCTACACAGTGGGGTTCAACTGCGCACTGATGATGTATCCTCGTATGATAAGGATACGTTTGCAAGTCAACAGCCAAGCTTGGCGAACACATCAACAGCCACCTGATCAACAACCAGTAACATTATTTTTTGATGAGGTTAACGCTCTAATGTCCGAACTGGACAACATTCTCTGAACACTGGTGCTTCCTGTTCCATAGGGTTCATTGTCCACTCCGCTTTTCCTGGTGAACAAGTTATGTTACCGTCAGTTCTCAACGGTTTCCGTTACCAAGTCAACCAATTGCTAATAATTTTTTTAAATTATTCATCAGAAGTGAACAAAAATGTTTATGGCCCAACTAACGGATTCCGTTATATTTCTTCGCATCCCCCAGTTTGTGAGCTCCCACGTGAATCGGCGTTACAAACACTTTGATTGGTTGCACGCTCGTCTTGTGTCCAAGTTTCCGTGCATCTGCATTCCGTCGTTACCGGATAAAGCCATAACAGGTTAGTGGCTTATCTCTGTACATGTGGCCACTCACCCGGTTTATTCTGTTTTCGGCTTTCGACTGCTTTTGACGTGTTCTGGTTTCCAACAGTTTCTGCTTTGCATTCACTTACATTCATCGACCTATTAGGTGGACCTTAGTGGAGTGTGACACGTTGGCTTGATGTCATTAATCGATGCGATGTGTGTGTGTGTGTGTGTACGTCCGGAATGGTCACCTTGCATACGTTGGTGTAAATATGTCGGCCAAATTAGCACAGTTTTCCTGGTCGTCTTACTTTATCTCACACAAGTGAACGCTGTTCCGAGGCCGTCCTAATTTACCCAACTTACTCTTGTTTTTTTCTGGGGTAAGTAGAATTTTGGGAATTACAGAATCAGAGCGTCTCGGTTCAGATATCATGAGAATGGAATTAGAACTCGGCTTTTGATGTTATGGCATAACAATACACACACACACAGTCATGGAAATGTGAATAAATTCCAGCTCACCGATCGATAAGGTTGGTGATATTGCAGTCAGTAATGTGTTGGATAGCTCGGGTGCATTAGTTGGTGATTGATCAGGTATCTGTTGATCTGCTCGCCGAGCTTAGCAATTGATTTGCAAACGTTTCGTCACCATTCGAGGAGACATCTTCAGACCCATCCAACAGCGCACTGAAGATGTCTCCGCGAATGGTGGCGAAACGTCTGCAAATCAATTGCCAAGATCGGTGAACAGATCAACAGCCACCTGACCAAGTACCAACTATTGCAGTCAGTTATCGAAGGATCGACACTTGTCAGTGACTGGCTAGGTGTCGAGATTTTTAATATTTTATAAATAAAATACTAATAATGATCGTTCAGCTGTATCACCCTTTTGGTGCCCAACTGCCGTGCCACGAGGGCTGGGATACTGCCAGATTGCCTAAGCCTAGACAGGGGAAGTCAGGAGGCATGGGCCGGGTATGAACCACGGACCTTCCAGTCAGTAAATTCGCGCTCTACCCATTGAGCCATCTCATGCGAGGACCTGAGTAGAAACGCATTTTCAATTGTGCTCGCACCATGGCGTAGTCGAAATCAAGTCGTATGCTAAAGAGGGAACGACACACTGTGGCTCTTGCAAAAAACGTCTACCACTTGATTCGTCCAAGTCAGGAAGAAGTGCCTATTGAATGGCTTTCCTGGACAAACCACATCCTAGCTTTCAATACTGGAATGTTCGATTTTCGGATTGGCTAGTTCAGAGTCCGTAGTTCAATTCCACTTAGGAAGTCTGCGGAATCATAGCGAAAGGTGTGCATGGATGTAAAATCATAATTCATGCGATCGAAGAATGTTCTCTGAAAATCGCGGGGACTGGTAAAAATCGCATGTAGACTTTCTAGTGGATTTCTAAAAATGTATGCCGAAACGATGTGCATGTGTAATCGAAAGTGAAGAATTTTTTTAGGAAAAAACACTGATCATTGGGTTATTGCAGCATCTTCGGCTGACCACGGCTGGTTCAGTCCTTCCTTGGGCTCATTTGGGCGCAATCCCGAGTTTTCATCGACCTTATGTTCTACTTGAACCCAAATTGTGCGCGATTCGCGCTAACTACAAATAAGAGTATTCGTCCAAATCTGTCCATCCTGGGTTCAAGATGAACATCAGATTGTGGAAAAATCGGCGACTGCCTACCTGATGAGCCCCAAGAAGAGCGTAATCGGTCGTGGTGTCAGTTTTTGGAAACCTTATGAGTAATCTTTGAAAAAAAATGCACTATGTTGTCTCCAATATCGTGCCAGCTGAAACGTGAAGGAGTCTCTGTGTAGCACATTCAGTCGAATAGTATCACAAACGGGAGATTCAGTTGGAATTCAGCTGAAAACCGGCTTAGTGTGCAGATGAGTATGTTTCGGGTAAAGGGATTTTTTATTCACCAGTGGAGTAGTCGTAATGGCGTTTTGGTATGATGCATGTATCCCTACGTCCTGACCGGTTCAGTCGCGAGAACTCATACATTTTCACTAGCCATTTGATAGGCTGATTGCAATTTTGAGTATCCTAAGTTTCGAAGGTGGGGATAGTGGCCTACCAAAGGCGTTCTTAGCACATTGTACGCATCACGTTGCTTGAACGTTATCCCAGAGATTGGGATGCTATCTGGTCGTATAGTTCGCATGACCTCCGCACTGAAAGCCTGCAACAATCCTGTGAGGTCAACTAACGCGCACTTTTAAACCTATCGAAACAGACTCATCATCTACAGTTTAGGAGATAGTGTACCTTGTGATGTCAGGTCTTACTTCAGTTTTCCATACGACAACAGCGAAGCTTTTTAAGGTAGAGTTTAACCGCCAGCATTATCGAATGTGATAATTATACCCCGTCGATCTCGGATACAAAGTTAGTATGCTCGAGTCCGCTATCGAAATGAATTTACTGACCTTTTGTGCCTCAATTAAATGTTTATCTTATCGAACGTTATCTTGCCACGTTTTCAGTTTCCAGGCTTTCTTACACTGCCACGTTGATATTTAAAGCCACTCTGTCGTCTACCTGCTGTCAGTTATACAGAACTGTGTCTCCCATACCTAAAGTCTGTCAAATCAGTTTCTCTATGCTGCCTTCGCTACGCGTACGCCTTTTGGGCCGCGTAGTTCAGCTAGCTGTGCAGAACGATCAAATGTGATGACGCGAAATCGGTTCATAGGCTAATTTAGGGAGCTGAATTGGAGGGAGCTCTCATATCGCTAGGTTAACTTTGTTTTGTTGCTTGGATGGCCGTTACGCGCGACCATATTGATGACGCAGGTTTTCTCTATGCCACATTTTATTGTGCTGTTCCATGACTTGAACTTCAATGGACTGGTCCGGTTAAACGGCGTAATGAGAAAGCACGCAATAACCTGGTTTTAAACCATCGATTGAACCGTGTGTTGGATCTATCTTGGTATGCAACCATAACCATTGTTCAAAGGGAGTCGGAAAGCTGACATAGTCTAAAGAAAAGGCAGCCGTTCCATAGTGTGACGATCACACAAATTACCAACTAACGTGGTGGCTGAAATCCTGAGGCCAACGTTTTACCGTCTCTTTGGCTTATCAGCAGTTCCCGGTATTTTTTTCGCACGTGGTGTTAATGTACCACCAATTGGCCATACACAAATAAGAGTCAGTTCTGTGCCTCTGCATCGCGTGGACTCGTCACTTATATTCCCTCATCGATTAGCTTCAGTTCATGGTAGCTTGTTTCAGTTCCGTGGCCACGTGGCTTTTTTGCAACCATGACATGCTTTATTCAGATTCAGTCGCACACACATGTGTCACATAATTTCATCAATAATAAAAATCACATGAATTACACAGTCAGTTCTTTGTTTGTCTGTGTGGAACACTAATCATTTGAGCTGCTCCATAAGTTTGTAACTCCTGTTTCGGTCACTGTAGTGAATGGGTTCTTCAACAGAGGTGTCATAGCTCGGGGGATAGCCGCGTTATATATCCCAATTCGATGATGAAGCAATATGCATACTCGGTCATTTTCCTGAGTAACCATCTCACGAAACACAACGCTGGACGGTGTACCGTTGCGCCACTGAGGTTGAAGTCAACTGAGGGGAGAAGCTTGGAAAACCACTTGAGAGTGGAGAACAACAGCATCATTAAAAAGCCCTGAAAAAGTGATCCAGGTGCATGTTGCACCACAAAGCGTGGTGGACTATTTCAGATCCTAGGTCAAATCGCTTGCCAAGCGTCGCAACTAATCTAGTAGTTTGGCGGTGATTTGTTGCTTCTTATATGCCATGCGCAAATTAAAGATCTAATTGATACTGGGAACCCCTTCAGCAACAAAATTGTCTGCTCTGTTAGTTGGAGCTCCAATTACCGAGCACAGTTTTCCTTGTAGCTGGTTGATCAACCAATCACATAGGCTTGTCCTAACATGCGTGTACTTTATCTTAGTCATTCTCTGTCCAAGTGTGTTAAGGCTTTCCCCTCTGTACCACTCGTGATTGGGGTTCACATACTGCCTAAGTAGACTTCACCGAAGAGGCATGCGACATCTGACGACATCGATGCGAATCGGTTGCCACACCTTTGTACG